CATATTTACATATATTTTATATCAGGGGTGTCAAACTCATTTTCACCAGGTGACCATCAACAATACAGTTCCCCTTAAAGGGCCGGCTGTAACTACTCCATATTGTATTAATACATGTTTCTGAAATTGATTATTACTTATTCAAATTACAAACATTGTACAATGCTTTTTGTGATAAAAAAATATTCATCAGGTTAGGAAACTCAGCAGCATGGACGTTATGGTAAGGCAATTAAACACTTTTTAAGGCCACACAAAATGACTTGGTGGGCACGATTTGGCTCGCAGGCCTAGGGTTTGACACATGTTCTCTATATGTTAGATACAGTATGTTGTATTTAACTAACTTTTTCCAGCTGGTGTCCAAGCTACATTTCAAATCCCACCATCTTCAGCTGACCTTTACAGCCTTGTCTGCCATCTTTTAGACACCACCACTGTCTCCAGACCTTACATCAGAGCACGTCTGTTGCTTTGAATGGCTAGCCACAGGTTTCGCAGTTCACTTTCAAGCATCCATTCATGCATCTTCACCTTTTCACCTACTTCAGTATTACTCCCACACAAGTAATGTACTGTGTCTTGCTTCTAGGGATTTTCACTTTCAATCTTCTCCTCAGTGCAGGCTTCCACATCTGCAGGCTCTCCACCACCTGCTCTGTACTGTCACTACAGATTACAATGTCCTCTGCAAGCATAATTGGCCATGAAGATTCCTGGGACACTTCATCTGTCAGGCTGTCCATCTTTCTGTTTTATTAAACAGGTTGAAAGTACAACGGCAACCTATTCTATTCTATTCTATTCATACCATACTGTCAGTTTACACTCTGGGCATTGTATCATCACAGAAATAGATCATGGCCACATCTGCATACAACTATAGAGCAGGAGCGCTAACCCACGTCTCACCATGCGGCCCTCAATACGTGGCTCTCTTTAATGCACTGCTATGCAAGGATATATTAAGTACGGCACTGCAATCACATACTTCTCTGCCACTCCTGCCTTCCTCATCTCAAACAAGACCACTGTTGCTCCTTTTAAATCCTGTCATATGCTAGAACCACAAACACAGTAAAAATGTTTTGCATATCTGAATTTACACGTGAAAACTGTATGTGTATAGCACCAAACAATTATAGGCCATTGGGGAAAAAAACTTGCGGGAATAAATGAGAGATGAATATTGACATGCTTTTCACATATTGAAAGCGCAAATAAAGGAAAGAGGCTCACAGATATTTAAGACAAATCAGAGTTACTGACCTTTGGAGTGGATGGCAGAGGAGGCAGGTGGACAGGCAATCTTGTGCGTTTCCTGTGTTGCTGCTCTTTGTGTTGAGGTAAAGGTGACTGAATGTACCAGCCTGGAAAATACATCCTCTGTCTTGCTTTTAGAAAATCCGGACATGGTTCTTTTCTTTTTACAGGCCTCTTCAGCACAGCCTATTTCAAACAGGGGGAAGTTACATCTATTAATCATTGGCAAGTGTTTATGGTAGAAGAAACAATGTTTTTGTTCAGTTCATGGAAGTCAAAACATAAAGTCTGTGAATCAGAACAAACCCAAGGCTTGAAGAAGCTGAGTAGAACCAGACATTATTTATATACCATTTTCCTGCAGTGCTCTCCAGTGAAATAATACATTTGATCTTGTGTCAGCTTGAAATTATTTCTCCTCATTTATACCTGTGGGTCTTTAACTTGCAGTGGAGGCCTTGGGGAAATGGAGGAGCTCTTGAGTTTCGGTAGCTTGTTAAACTGTTCTTGGTCTGTAAATGAAGGAGAGTTATAATCTGCAATCTTTCCTTCAGTTTAATACTTTAAAGCAGTACAATATGAGACTTCAATACAAAACAATCCTAAAAACCAACAATTTGTTTTCAGATTTTTACCTGTAAACTTGTTATCTGTTCTTTGGACGAAGGGACATGTCGGTGATGACCTTGAAAATCCAGAGGCCATGGCATCAAATTGCTGTTTGTCACAGAGAAATATTATCAGAGATGAATAAATAAATATACAGTAGATAAATAAATATAAAGATAAATAAATCACTTATGCTGTATTAACCTGCAACAGCACTGGCCGAACTGACCACAGCAAGACACTGACTGCAACGACTACAGTGACACACAGACCACAATGACTGGAGCTACATAAGCACCAAGGGCAACATCAGTACAGCTAATGCATTCACGGCAACAACCGCAACACCGCTGATTACGGACAGCATCTACGAAAACAACCACAATGACCACAGCCACACACTGACAGCACTGACTACATGGTCACATCAATAACACCACTGCAACTGCTGCAGGAACTACGACTACTACTACTACTACTGCTGCAGTTGACTCTAGATAGATGGATAGATGTACTTTATTGATCCCAGGCTGGGAAACTGCAGCTCAAACCGTTTATCCATATTACTTCACACAATCACTTCCCCATCCAACAGATACTGAGCCGACCCACCCTCATTGAGTCCCATGAGCCAAAAAGTGCGCCCACCTTGGCTCCACTGAAACTCACCTGCAAAAATGCACTCAACTGACAGGCCGGACTCACACTGATGGTTGACTTGGGTCCCAGCTCTGCGATCGCAGCCAGCTGTGGTTCCCTCACAGCCACTGGATATAAGTGACATCACATACAGTGCCTGTGCAACCATATCAGAATGGAGGACATCTTCTCAGCCTCCCAATGCTGTGGGACACATAGTCTATATAATGGGCAACACGGAGTGTGGTTTGGACTTCTTTTTGCCAATGATCCTTTGGTCCCATGTTTGAAAAATAAACCCTGCCCTCGCAGACTGACGGCTTGAGGGGGCGTTGTTTATGACATCTCTGCTACTTAGTTAAAATTGTTTTATTTATTCACTTTTAAACTAAATAACATGATAACTAGTTTTAATATAAAGCTGGTGACAATTGCATGTCTTTCAACATTCTGGCGTCTCCATGGGGGATATGCGACCTTAGCATTTGCCTCCAATTCCTATGGTGCGAGCAGTTGTTCTGGCCCGGTCAATTACATTGAGGACAACTTTTAGGAGAACCCACGGTGGAACAATTACGCACAGGAACGCAAGACGCAACGGCCTCTGTTACGCACATGCTGCGCATTTTAAACTCCATTCGACAAAATCTGTTACGCACATGCTGCGCATTTTAACACCATTCGACAAAAAAAAAATACAAAAAAATAAAAATAATGAGTGTACGTATTAATTAGTTTCGTACTTATTTCCGTCATGAAGTGTGGAAAAACTGAAGGGCAGACGTAGTATTTTATCAGAAGAACATTATACAAGTCAAAGAGAGTCAAACATACGTACCGAATCCACAACCTAAAAAAGGTATTTGTGCATCAAGTTGAAATAGTTTATCTTCATGAAACGATCTGCCAAAGTTTCTGCTGAGAACTGAGGTTGACAGTTTCCTAGCAACCACCTCCCCTCCCGGCATGCCTTGCAACCAAGCGAAGAGACGGCGCTGTTTTTAACCCCCCCCCCCTTTTTTTAGTTCACAGTAAAGACAGTTGAAAACCACTCACAGAACAGAAGACAGAATTATTTAAAACAAATGTATAAATGGTTTATCTAATATAGTTAAAATTTTACATTTTACAAATCGGACATATAAATTAAGATTCAGTTATAAAATGTAAACATAATGCAACTAAAGCATTACAAAAAGGACATTGATAAACCAAAAGATCAGAAAAACAGAGAAGTCATTGATTGTAAGCACCAGTTCCTTAACTCCCTGCCCCGAACCCCCATATGGCATGAAATACACAAAGGTAATTTAAAAACAGTTCCTGTACCAGACCACATCTTTCCCCTGTACTTCTGACATAAAATGGTTAAGTCACAAGCTCTAAGACATAGTTATTCTTTTCAAATTAGGGGTGGAAAAAAACAGAAGCTAGACCAATGCCTGTTGTAGAGCCCAAATCTTTTAAGCCGGTTCCCATTTGACTTTGATCAATCAGTCCATTGATCAACTCAAGGTTTACCAAAGATATAATAATACATTTGTCAGCATTGTTGGAGACGCCTTGGATGTGATGTTATATGTTTCAATGAATAAAGTTTAACAGGTTTTGAAATGATAACAGTCTTAAAACTTTTGACTTACCATCACAGTCATACAGCTAGGTAAAATGATGTAACTGAAGCTGATGGTACAACACTGTCAACACCAAGGAAACATAATCACACCTACTAGACTAAACAGTCTGGTACATTAGAGTTCTCTCACCCACCTCCAGTTTCTCACTTCATCTCACTTTCACTAACACGCACAGGATACTGCCAAACTGAACATAATTCCTTTCAAACACTCTGGACTCTTGAGTGAAAAATGTAGAGCATATTGTGTTGTTTTCCATTATTTGCTTTTTTTCCCTGCACTGACGGGCTGCGGTCAAAACTAAACATTAGTTGAAGGTCAGGATCTGATATAATGGCTAATCCAATATTTGTCAAACCTTTTACATCAGAAAATATCATACATCAATATGAGTCTTCACTTACTGGTCTGAGCCCAGTGAGTGTAAGTAAGTCTGAGTATAAGTCTGAGCATCTTATACTCCGAAGCGACTGTACGTTTCTCCGGAGTATATGTCAATGAAGATTCTCAGTCATCCAGGTCATGGTCAAGGTAAATAGTTCTGTTTGGACGTGAAATCTTGAAATTTCACATCCAGTTGCCTAACGGAACTCAATCTCCAGGGTATAAGTCGAACCAGCCAAAAAATGCATAATGAAGAAGGAAAAAAACACAAACCATACGTACAGTATGCAAGTCGCTTCAGAGTATAAGTCGGACCAGTGCCCTCTAGTGGCTGTCAGTGTGAAAATAACAAACGTGAAATTATACATTTGAATATATAAGTCACACCTGAGTATACATCGCAAACCTGACAAAGAATTGAAAAAAGAGTGCAACTTATAGTCCGGAAAATATGTATAAAAGAACACATACAGTTGTGGTTTTCACTTTATGCCAATGACTTCACATTTGCTCTCTCTTATGGCCTATCAGGTACCATGAATACTTGAGGTTTTGTTTTTATAAAAGAATGAAGAATTGACGTTCCACGTTACAGAGTCTCTGGATCAATAGTGGCGGCTTTCCTTCTCTGAGATGTCATCAGAGTCAGCTGTTTAAAGGGAGACAGGTTGAAGAACTTCATTGATTAGTTAATTAAACACTGAAAGAAAAAATTCTATATTTGACAGCAGGAGTCACAACATCGTTTTTTTCTTACACATTCAGTAAATACCTGCTGGGTAGCGTTCACTGCCTTTTGTTCAGCCTGTGTCAGTCGTTTCTGCAGACGACTGGACTTCTCTTGATGCTCTGACATCAGTTTCTCATACTATATTTACACACACACGCACGCACATCAATTATATGACATCAAAAGCAGAAAAGTCACTGGGTCTTTACTTAATTAGGAGCTTTCGTTTGTTCCTCCATTCAACCTATGGCTTTCTCTGATGTCAATCTGCTCTGATCCTCAACCTCACCCCCATGTGAGACAAAAGGTATTATTCATCATGAGCATGCAGGACACAATACATACGTTCTGCATAAAGGGAAACTTTCCTCAGCTCGCGTTGGAGCATTTTGGAGAAAAATTATTTATCTCTGACTTTTTTTTTCTTACTAAGGAAAGACACTTTGTTTAATTTTAGCTGTAGAGACCTGAATAAATGCATACATAAAAAAACTCCAGAAAGTCGTAGGCTAGGTAAATTTGCTCTAAAACATAATGTTGATGTTTGTAAATCAAATAAATAAGTGTTTTTTGCTTCTGGCATTTGTTTTCGCATCACCAACTATATCATATAGACTGTGGTCAAATTGGATGGAAACATTTTTTTCCAAAAAAAAAATACATTGCACCAGATTACTCGTCACATCTGACAAAAAAAATAGAACAAAAGTCGCACAAATATTTTTGGAAAATTCAGAAGAATCCAAGTATACATGTTTCATCTGGAAAATGATTTACACATGCTCATCAAAATGGACCAAATAAATTAACGTATAAGTTCAGTTGTCACAAGTGTTGACAGTGCCCTCTTGTGGCCAAGAATGACATGAGTATATAGTTGATAATATAAATTGCGTCGGATTATGAGTTGAAGAACCAGCTAAACTACCAATCCACCACCTAGTCTGAAACACACGGAATTTGCACTTTTTTCTTTTGAATCAGACCACAGTCATCTAATCCCATAGAACAGGTGTTCAAACCCACCATGTGACCGGTCACCATGTCAGTGACATACAGTGTTACCAAATCCCTGGCCAGGGACGTACCTAAAAACCCCCACATACCTCAGCTATGGTAACGTGGTTAGTTTCCAGCTGCATCTCAAGCTCGTGTGATCGTTGTTTTTGACGACTCAGCTCTGCTCTGAAAAACAAACATTTACGGGAAGAAAAATAAGGGAGAGAAATAGATAAGAACTAAGCTGTCTCACCGAGGAGGGGAGAAAGTCCATTTATATTATTACTTTATTGTCAAGTGTTTCAAGATGTTCAACATTTCCAATAAAAAACTCAGCACAGTGCAGCTGCTGCTGAGGTCAAACCCACTTTAAGTAGTTCTGTAAGTCAATTTTGGTTTCAGCCTTTATCAACTAAAAAAAAACCCAAACAAACAAAAACCCCACTCCACCTCTGCTGTGGCTTTCTCTTCAGTGATTTAGTTTTGGCAGTATAGCTTTTACGGCAAAAAAGTTCAAGACATAAAAGTATCCTATGAGCTTTTTCTTAAAGGCTCTTTTAATGACATTTTTTTTTATCATATTTAAAAAGGATTATAACAACAAAGGCAGGGAGCGTCTGGAGAACCAACTTGCTTCACATTTACCTACAGAGTGAAAACACTTGATAGATCATCAAAAAGTGTCTGTTTGAAGTTTCTTTTTTTTATAAACTCATGTTTCTCTCCCTCTTCACTCGTGTTGTCAGAGGCTCTTACTTGAGGCTTTTGATTTTTGTCTCAAAAGCGTGAACCACATTCTTGGATTCTTCCTTCCAGCGCTCAGTGGTTTTTTGCTGAGCGGCGAACAGGCGTGTCAGCTGAGCTGTGGAGTTTCGGCTGCTGTCTTCCAACTCCTTCATGCGTGCGCTGAGTCCCTGCTCCTTTAGGCTGCACTCGTGCTCCATCTGAGACACCTGGGCAAGACAGGGGACACAGGTGGTGTTGTGGAGTTGGGACAAAACAGGAAAAATAAACCGTGTAATCTTATAGAGTTAGAAAATATATATTTTCAGCATAAGAGACAACACATTAAGTGGTAGAGCAGGCGTTCGGCTGTAGATGGCAAATTCATTGTTCACTGTTTTTGTCTATTACTTGACTTGTGCCATTACGCCACCTTGCCTTTAATGTATGTAATTTTTCACTAATGGCCTTTTAGCTGTGAAAGAGTCACTTTGCTCATTTTGTTGTCAGTATTTGCAAAAAGCTAACCACCACCTCTCAGCATTACTAGAACTCAAGTCCTTTTTTTTCGATAGACATTTGAAAAGGTGAGAAATTACATCCACACACACACACACATATACACACAAAAATATAAACCACACACACACACACACACACATACACACAAAAATATATAAATATACACATATATAATGCATACACATATATGTATATAAACACATATATGCATATATATAGAAAAAAAATTGGTGGATTTTAGTTGGACATCTTAAGAGTAGATTGCAGAGCGCTTCGAAAACAACTTTCGACTTCACTGTGTCACATGTAGACTTACTTAATAACCCTAAGCAATAATAAGTGAATATGCAGTGGATCAATTGGATTAATTGTGCCTTTAAATATGTAAATTAAAAAGAATCACAAATTACTTAATAATATATTTTAGTGTTTTGTGGCAAGGCTTCTTTAAAAAAAAAAAAAAAAAACTAGTCTCCTGGTCCTCAAATTTAAACTGTTCGATGGACAACAGGCGACTTGCTAACTCTTTAAGCCAACACGTACCACCACAATCTCCTGCATCTATCAGCCACTTTGGTTACCTGTTGTTTGGCCTTCTTCTGGACCAGCCCCGTAGATTTGCGCAACTCATCCATGTCCTTACGCAGCTGCAGATTTTCCTGCTGCAGTTGGAGCCTCTCGTCGCTGATGCTAACGCAGTCATCCCGGGCTGCAGCCAGAGAGCTCTGCAGCCGACGCACTTCCTCCTGGCACCGGGACAGTTCCTCGCTGTAGCTGCAGGAGGACGTTAAGGACATAAAGATCATAAAAGGCAGACACCCACTTAAATCTCTGATATGAGTGGCAGCAGCCTCTTGGCAGCAACGTGTTCTGGTCGCTGTGCTTTTGGATCCTAGTATAGGATTATACTACAGTATCTGCTACTGCACTTACTCCATGTCCATCTTTTTGAGTTTGTTCTGGGTGCTTTGCAGAGTCAGGCTCACGTCTTCCTTCAGCCTTTCTGCGTTCAGACACCTCTGATGAAGAGCATCAATCTTCCTGAACTCTGCCGGCTCTGCCCTGCCCTCCTTATACACCTGACACACAGAGGCATTCAAACAATTAATATATTATACCATACGCAATCTTGACATTTCAATTCTTCGACAATATTTCGCAACACTCCGAATGTGCTGTGCAATACAAATATCGAGTACTGCACAGTATATTCGGAGTCTTGCAAAATATTGTTTAAGAATTGAAACGCTGCACTGCAATCTTATTTAATCTGGATAGATTTGATGGATCTGAGCAACATTACTGCAGTATTATGGGTAATATTGTCGTGATATTGAAATTTAAACTCTGCAGTTTTTTGTTATTTACTTTACACTTTCTTGTTGGTAACACCAAGAGCCTCTCCCCCTGTCAACAGTATTATACACACGTACTAAACATAGGCTGAATATTCACTAAAACATATTTATTAAACACATAATTGGGCGCTTAATTTGTCCGCCTACGCTCAGCTGTTGCTGTTCCACACTTCCAATGTTAACTTTGATAATAACCTTCTCCAGTTCCTCCTCTGCAGCCTTCCTCTCTCGCCGAGACCTTTCAATCTGAGACTCTTTATCTGCACACTCCTACAGAGAGGCAGAGGCAGAGAACAAGGAGAGTCGGGCAGGAGGGTGAGAGGAGGGGTTGGAGACAAAATGAAAAGGATGTGAAGGCAGGTGCAGACACACAGAGGAGGATTATGGGTGTGATTATGAGTGGAATTTGTCCTGAGAGGAGAGGATCTCACCAACTGCAGGGCAGACAGCTCCTCGGCCATACGCTGGATTTGAGCGTTGCACTGCTTGCGCACATTTTCTACCTGTTAGGAGATAAAGTCAAGCAGCTCAAATATGGACACTGGCCACAGGGAGCTGGCAGCATAATTGCTTTGCATTTTTGTGTCCTAGAGGCCGTAGCTTTTATTCCACCAAAAGTACATGCGGAGATAGAGAACAGACTGAAGGTTAGAAGTTAAAGTGAAACATACTGACTGTGAGAGTAATTGTGTGAACTTGCAATCTTAAACCAAGTTAAAAGCACATTGGGAATTCAATCAAATGCAGGATCTACAGTACATACAGGGCTGAGAACTGATTCAGATTTGCATCATTGCAGACAAAAAAAAACTTTCAGTAACTTGATAAAGCGATGGTAGTTATCATTTATCACAAACAACGGGCCGTAAACTGCAGCACTTGCTGAATTGTTTTCCCCCCAGAGTTAAAAGATGATATCATAAGATTTAGGTCCTCAGTAAATCTCTTTACTTCAGCGAGGCTGCGTATTGTTGGCTTAGAAAATCTGGTTTTGCAAAGTGTGAATGTTAAGTAATAAAAGCTGTGGTTGTTCTTTTAGCTTTCGATTCTTACGAGGCGTTCACACCAAACGCGATAGGCAGAAATAGATCGTGAGATCCAATAAGCGACAAGTTTATCCCGATGTCACCTCTCTGATGTTAAGCAAAGAAGTTTGCGAACAATGCCGGACAAGCTTATCATCGCCGTGCTACGTTGTCTCAGGACTGGAAAAAGGAAAGAAGTGGCATGGGCTAATGTAAGTAGGTGGGACTCTGGTAAGTTGTAAGATTGGCCCCGGCTGTCATCTAGACGGAGCTCTCGGAGGAGACAGTGAAATTTATCATGAATCATGAATCATCATGAACCCAGACAGAATATATTTCTCAAATATTTCTCAAAACCGGCCCACTAGGGGGTGCAATCCGGCTCACTTGGTGAATATTAAAACTGAAAAAATGCTTGTGCACTTTCAGGGCAGGTAAAAAGATAGGTAAGATTGTTTGACCAGTTTGCTTCCATGCCACATGTCTCACAAGATGTCTCGCAGATCCTAGCTAACCATTACTTGTTTTATAGCAATATTTTAAAATGGCGCCACAGCACAGTATATAGAACAGATTTTATCAATTCACTCAAAAGGTGCTTTCTCCACTTCCCACTCTCTCTTTTCTGTGCTTAACAGTAGCACTCAGCTCACAGAAGCAACGGAGACAAGGGGAACAAGAGTACTGCACGAGGTGTTCTTTTGACAGTATCAGATGTACTTAATATTAATTTATTTGAACTACTAGTGCTTAGCATAAGTATTCACCCCCTTGGACGTTTTATACTTTTATTGCTTTCATAAATCAATCATGGTCACAAAATTTGGCTTTTTTTCCACATAAAAATGTCTTGGAAAAAACTCTTAAATGTCAAAGTGAAAACATAATTTTATAAAGTAATGTTAATAAAACAAAATTACATAAAGAAAATAATTGTTTGCATAATTATTCACCCCCTTTAAAATTCAATACTGGTCCATCCAATAGGTGCCAATAGTGTCACAATTATTAGTATAATAAGTAAAGAAAATTAGCAGATGTACAAGATTGAATGAGACTTATCCAGTGCTGTGATTGCAGCCAACAATTATTTTTCTTTATATAACTTTGTTTTATTAACATTACTTTATAGAGCTCTGTTTTCACTTTGACATTAAAGAGTTTTTTCCAATCAATTTTTGTGTGAAATCCCCCAGAGTTCAGTGAAATCAATCATGAAGAAATGGAATGAATATGGAACATGTGTGAATCGGCCTAGATCAGGCTGCTCTCATAAACTAAGTGACCGTGCAAGTAGGAGACTAGTGAGAGAATCCACCAAGACCCCTCCGACTACTCTGAAGGAGTTACAAGCTTCAGCTACTGAGATGGACTCAGGAGAGACTGTGCATATAGCAACTGTTGCCCGGGTTCTTCACTGCTCAAAACTTTATGGGAGGGTGGCAATGAAAAAGCCACTGTTGAAGAAAAGTCACATTAGATCTGGACAAAGGCATGTGGACGACTCCATGGTCAAATGGAAGATTCTTTGGTCTGATGAGACCAAAATGAGCTTCTTGGCTATCAGACAAGACGTTATGTTAGACGGAAACCAAACACTGCACATCACCAAAAACACACCATCTCCACTGTGAAGCATGGTGGTGGCAGCACCAGGCTGTGGGGATGTTTCTCAGCAGCAGGCCCTGGAAGGCTTGTAAAGATAGAGGGCAGAATAAATGCTGCAAAATACACTGAAATCCTGGGGGACAATCTTATTCAGTCTGCAACAGAACTACGGCATGGAAGAAGATTTATTTTCCAGCAAGACAATGATCTAAAGCATACTGCAAAAGCAACACAGGAATGGTTAAAAAACAACCAGGTAAATGTTCTGGAGTGGCCGAGTCAAAGGCTGTCCATGCCTGATGCCCGCGCAACCTGACAGAACTTGAGCAGTTTTGCAAAAAAGAATGGAGAAAATTAGCAGATGTACAAGATTGAATGAGACTTATCCAGTGCTGTGATTGCAGCCAACAATTATTTTTCTTTATATAACTTTGTTTTATTAACATTACTTTATAGAGCTCTGTTTTCACTTTGACATTAAATAGTTTTTTCCAATCAATTTTTGTGTGGAAAAAAGCAAAATTTTTACTCTGAAGGAGTTACAAGCTTCAGCTACTGAGATGGACTCAGGAGAGACTGTGCATATAGCAACTGCTGCCCGGGTTCTTCACTGCTCAAAACTTTATGGGAGGGTGGCAATGAAAAAGCCACTGTTGAAGAAAAGTCACATTAGATCTGGACAAAGGCATGTGGACGACTCCATGGTCAAATGGAAGATTCTTTGGTCTGATGAGACCAAAATGAGCTTCTTGGCTATCAGACAAGACGTTATGTTAGACGGAAACCAAACACTGCACATCACCAAAAACACACCATCTCCACTGTGAAGCATGGTGGTGGCAGCACCAGGTTGCTGTGATGCCCAGTGATGCAACAGTGGCGCCCCAGCACAGTGTGTCAAGAGACAGTGACCTTATGTTTGTGTCTGAATGATATGTTGTTTCTCCGATAAAGCTGTGCTCATTTGGTAGCTTCAGTTTTTTTTTTTTTTATTTCATTTCTGCCTGCAGTTTACAAACAATGTCTTGCGTAATGCTTGTCTTGTCTGAAAGAAAATTGAGCAGGATATTGATTGATGAGCCCTATTACAAAAAAATAAAACACTTCAAGCTTTGTCAAAAAGTTTTATGCTCCCACTCCTACTCTGCTCTACTTGTATCCCCTAATTCCCTGTCACCTTGCTCCTGACACTATCAAAGAAAAACAGCCAAATAAAGGGATTATAGAAGTTAAAGTTCAACACTTAATTGGACTGCTGTTAGATCCCTGCAGATCCTCGCTGACACCCTTAAAAAAAGGACAGAGAAAAAATATTGGACATTTTGTGCGGTGAGGAAGACGTCAACCAGCGTGAGGCAAGTTTGTCAATTTCTTCCAACATAATGTTTAAATCTCTCATTCAGAAGAATATTCCAGTCATGCATGACGGTCTGAGTGCTTGCTGAGGTAAGTCTGAGGTCTGACTACAAGTCTGGGTAGTTTGGGGATTAAGTCCTCATTGAAAAAGTGAAGGGCTTTCGTAAAAACCTTACTCAGTTTGGCAGCATTGTTTAACTCTAACCTCCAACTTCACGACTAAATGACCTGTTACTCGGAGTGAAAAAGGCAATTAATGCAGAGTTTTTCCACATCAACAGATAAACTTTCAAAATTCCATCTTGGTGCTGAAGGTCAGCCACAGACTAAGACGACGGCCTGCACTGCGGTCGCACTCGGCTTCATTAACAGGATTAAACAGTTGAAGGGCTTGATGAAAAAGACCCATTAATGGAGCATTAATCACTATGTCCCTGAGTGAGGTTAGATAAAAGGAGCAGCGGTAGAGGTTCAGAATTAAGTGTGTGTGTGTGTGTGTGTGTAGATGTGTGTCTGGTTAAAAATGTCACAAACATAGCATTTACTCCGGACTTATTTTCAAAGAATTTATAATCGGCAAATTAACATGTTTGTATCTCCTCTGAGCAGTGCTGGTGTGGAGTCATTAAGAGAAGAAAAATCAAGTTTAAAAAAAAAAAAAAGATTTAAAGGGGACAAATTATGCTACTTATATGCAAAGTAATGCGTTTCCTTGATGTCTAACTAAAATGTTAATAAGCTGCTTTGGTCGAAAAAAGAAAAAAAGAAAGGACTGATCACAGCTGGCTTTTTTACACAAGTGTTTAACAACCCTCTTTCTGAACGGCATGTTTCAGGGCCTTCATCTTTAAATGGTAATGAGTCACTGCATGCGCTGCCTACCTCTTCCGCAAGGGGACAACCTGAGGACAGCTTCACATAACCATGGCAACGGCTGAGCAGTGGGAGAGAAATGTCTGCACTGTCAACAAACAGTCCACGTGTATGGCCTTATTTTAGCCATGCTTCAAGAACCAGTCCAGCACTGAAGATTGTATTAATGTTCCAGTACTTTTAAAAGATCTGGGAACAAGCCAGATGGAGTACAACTACCCAATATGTACACTGTGTCGTGCGGTTAAAAAACCCACCTCTTTCCTGGTGCGGACAGCGGCGTCCTGGATCAACTGTTTGATGGCCGCCTTTGTCTTCTCTAGTTCTTCTATCTTCTGTTTCTCTCTCAACAGAGCCTGGAGGGAAGGGAGATGACAGGCACATTATAGAAGGGCAGTGGCTGCTGGGAGAAAACGTCTGACATTTTTCAGAGAGAGAGAGAGAGAGAGAGAGAGCGGGGGAGAAAGAGAGGGGGAGGGGGGGGGGGAGAGAGAGAGAGAGAGAGAGCAGGCCTGATGAGTGAAAGGAAAGGACTCTGAGAAGTTGAGAAAAGATTAGAGTCAGTGCGAGAACCGAGCTTACCTGGTCCTTCTGCAACACAGCTTCCTCGGCCATCTGGACACTTTCTCGTAATTTGCTCAGAGCCTCGTATTTCTCCTCTTCCAAGGTGGCAGAACGTGCCTGAACTTCCCCCAACTTTGTCTCCCACACAGTTTTCTCTCGGCGATAAGCCTCTGCCTCCTGAGAAGAAGCCTTCAGCCTGGCAGCGGAGAACAGTGGTTAAAAAAAACACCCAAGTATCTGAACCTCTCGAGTCTAATGAAACAGAACATTTCCCTCCTGGATTGTACTATAAAGGTGCACCATGGACTTAACTACTGTTAAAACTGTTAGGATGGATCTTTTAATTAACTTTCTTGTGTCGGAGCTGCTGCAGAGTTTAATGTGGTCACCTGGCCTCTATCTGGCTCAACGCCACCTGGAGTTGCTGGAGCCGTCTATCAGATGCTTCCTCCCGGCCCTGGGCATCTGCCACGTCCTCCTCCTAAACACAAAGGCACGCATGCAGCAAAGTCTCACATAGTTTTCAGGTTTCCAAAAGTTCTTTAGACAAAAAACTTCCAATGTTTTGGACTTTTCTCTTGATATGGCAATTTTTACGAAAACAAAGTTTTGTGGTAACATTGTCTGAATATCAAATATATATATCAAACTGACACAATTGTCAACTGGATTGTGAGGAACAATGGACTGAAAAATATTGCTGAAAACAACAACTCAAATTTTGAAAGCTTGAGGCATTCAACAAACCATCATGAAGTTGTAGTATTATTTGAATTTTTACGCGATTTAGTAAATCCACAACTATGCTGTGATTAATCAGAATAAAATGTTGAATTGTTTGACAGCGTTATTTTTTTTACTTCAACATCAAACTTTGATGACCAAAGGGTCATTGCTCCCTGCAGTGATAATCAAATTATATTTTCTGAAATTCTCCCTGGTAAGAACGGTATGACTGATAGAGTATTTAGATAGAAAACATAGATAGATAGATAGTCTATTGATCCCAAAGGGAATTATTAATATTTTGTCAGTGACCAATGTATTTTTTTCTCCTTCCATCTCATACCCGTCTCTGCATCTGATCCTGGACATTTTGCACAAACTTGGTCATTTCGTCCACTTTGGCTGTGGCTGTCCTCAGTTCAGCTTTGGCTTGCCTGCAGCAGTAGATCAGAAATGAAACAATGACTTAGGCACAGCACGAACAGACTCTTCCATAGAATATAACATAAAGCATCCTGGTCACTTAGTTGGATCAGTTGTTACCTGAGCTGGCTGTGAAGCTCCTCCATCTCTGTGCTCTGTGCTGTCACCGTCTTCAGAAGCTGCTGGTTGGTCTGTGTGTGGCAAGACAGACAAGACTGCCATATGTGGGGCATGACCCAGGGCTAAAACCTAAACGTAGCCTTAAAATCTTAATAAAAGCTTCTTTTAGTCATTTAATATTGTACGTTCCGCCACCTCAAACAAAGACTGAAAAAGCCTGCTCGTACAAGAAGTGAGGAGAGTGGGCGACGCAGAAAGGCTTGTTCTCTCATTAAAAATGCATCAGTGGGGTATTGTATTACTTTGTCCTCACACGCTGTATTATGCCCAAAAAATGTGTGTTCAAAGGTTTGAGCTCCTTCGTAAAAAGAGTAATTCCGTCTGAACAGTGCGACAATATTGAACCATTTTAAGTATTTATCAGTGACTGACAGAGAAAAGAGAGCGGCAGAGAAGAAAAGACAAAGAAAGTACAACTGTAGCCACTGTTTCCATTCTCCATTGTGCTCAAGGATTACCACGTGAAGTGACAGTCCATTATACGTCGCAGACAGTTCAGGCCGTCCACCAGAGTGATTAAGAAACCAATTTGCTTAGTTGCAAGATTAATCATTAGAGCAAGGTTCATTTCAGAGAAACGCCGGCCATTTCGATCCTGTGGCTAATTAGGAGGCAATAATTTAACACGCTTCTAATTAAGCGTCACTTACCGAGTCCAGGTTCTGATTGGTGACCTGGAGTTTGTGTGAATGCTGCTGGAACTGAACAAGTTGATCCTGTAAAAGGGAAAAGAGGCAATGTTTAATGGTTGACCTAAACTAAGGTGAAAACACTTTCAATAACTAAAAGGTTGGTGACAATAGCTCCACCTAGTGGTATATGTGATCACAAATTTATGATTTTTTTTTTACTCTGGATGTCAGCCATAGATTGTCCAACCTTGAGCTGTTGTCTTTGAGAGTTATAGATCTGTCCATCGGAAATTGTTTTCTGGTGGATGTGTTGGAGACGGTCCAGCTCCTGTGTTGCTGCGTGCCACAGCTCCATGGCCTGAGCTCTCTCCTAAACATCAAGAATGACAAAAATACATTAGACTTGTGTTTGCTCAATTGTGTTTTTATTTTTTTGATGTAATGACCTTTGACTCTGAGAGTTTCCAGGTTTACTTACAAGGTTTTAGGACTAACCTTTAGTTGAATAAACAAAACGTATATTTTGGCTGAATAGGAGTTACAATTTTGTATTTTCAAGACATTTATTTTAGGATATATTGAATACATTTAGGACCACTGTTTGTATCTTATTTGACCATTTCAGCAAAAGTTTTTGCAGATTTTGCCTATTGGGCATCAAAAACTCAAACAAGCAGGTCTAACAACATGTTGAAATAGAACAAAATTACTGAAATTGTTTTTTTTTTTTTGACGATTCACACCGGCAGGATTTGAGAAAATGTTTTTAGATTTGTCCTTAAGTCACATTGTTCATCAACTAATTTATCAAATATTCACATTTCTTCTTGTCCTGAGGGCAGAAAGTACATAAATAATTACACTTAGGGCCACACAGTGGGCAGGTTGTCTGTCCACTTGCTTCACAGCAAAGAGATCACGGATCTGATGCCCAGTAATAACTGACAGGTCTTTCAAAACGAGTTTGCATAGAGTTCAAAAACATGTGTATCAAGGAAAGGGGGAATGCCATCTCAGCATAATGACGGATTAGCTTAAACTACCACACAACATTGTGAAACATTAGGCTGAATATGAAAAACAACAACTTGCAAAAATGAAACAACAATCACTCTTTAAAGGCCCAGAGATTAAAAGTCAACGCATTGTTTGCTTTTCCCTAACTCTCTACTTCATCATCTTCAGGCACAAAAACACCCGTCGCTGCTGTGAAGTCAAAGTAGGTAACAAATGCAATGTACCATCGAGAGTTAAACCAGCTGATGTCTCTGGCAAAAATAGACCAACCACTTAATGATAGCGGAGTGAGGAAAAAGAACTAAATGTTCGGAATTTCAGTCTCCAATGACTGTGACAGAGCCAGAGCGCAAAGCAGCCAGATGGTGTGTACACAGGCTGGGAAACAGCAGACAAGCATCTTCTCTTTGTTTTTTTATTGAGACAAACAGTATGCAGATGACAGTTAAAAAAAACAATGTTTGTCATAGTGTAATGAATCTAAACATTTAGACAAGACACCACCTAGTGTAAGTAAAAGTGCAGACCTGCTCAGACAGCTGGACTTGCTCTTGGAGGTTTCTGACGACTGTTTCCTCCTCCTGCGTGCTGCCCTCCATCCCTGCAGCCACGGGCAGAGCATGCAGCTGCTTCTCCACTGATTCCCTCAGCTCAGCATGAAGGCTAAAGATGACAAGTGTGGATAATTCAGATCATATTCCTGATAATCTGATGGGCTCACTTCCACCCTTGAAACTATAGGTATTTTCTAAACTTTTCTATTCCAAACATACACATTTCTAGTTAATGAGCATTAATTGAGGGTTAATTGTGTTTGGTTATATTGATTTTAAACACCTAACATAATAATAATAATAATAATAATATATTATATATACATATATACAGTATATACCAGAAAATATCTTAAATAAAATACATTGTTGTTTATTTTATTTTTTAATTATCAAACATAATTACTAGTCTGTGTTGTTCCATTGTAGAACAAATTCCCTTTCACCAATGAAAGTTTTATTTTACCTTTCATTCTCCTTGACGACCCTTTGCAATTTCACTTTAATGTCTGACATCATTGTCTGGTCCATCATCAAAAACGAAAAGAAAATATTGTGTTAAATTTCGATGCATTATTGGTAAGCTGCAACAGAACATTACTTTTGAAACTTGACATTTAAAATCCCGTTGGTATGTCACCTCATAGCGCTGCAGTTTGTCCTTCATGTCATCCATGTGTCGATCATACTCTCTGATTAGAGGAGCCATGATGCTGCAACAGAAACATGTAATTGTAATTGCATAATATCTGGAGAATTAAAGTCTTTCTGTAGTTATAACATTGACATGCAATGTTAAAACCTGTCTGACCTTTTGTCCGAGATCCAGTGCCCAGGATGCTCTTCTCCTTCAACCTAATAGAACAAACAACATTTAGGGAATGAGAGTAACAACACCCCTTACTTTGTAAAGTTGTTTTTTTCTCATTCATACAAAATACTAACAAAGTTTTAATACTGAATTCAAACACAATTTTAATGAACCACAATTAAAACAACTCCAAAGCACTGAACAGTAACAAAACAGTATAAGAAATACCACCAGAGAAATAAAAAGAAGACAAAAGAAGAGAACAATTAAAATCCAAACACTTCTCACCAATTGATATGCATTTTAGAAAGACACCACTCAGCAAAAGTCTGTGTTTAAATAACGTATGTAAATTTCACTTAGAAAATACACTGTTGGCAAACAAAACAAATTCAACAAATTCTTTTTCTTTCACTTCAAATAACTGGGATCATTCTGCCAATTAATGTGCAGTATGTTGATGATCGTTACTTTTTACCTGAAATGATGTGGACTCAGTCTGTTGGTGGCGCTGATACTGGTTAAGAGCAGAATTTAATCTCTGAACTGAAAACAAATTGACAAACAGGTACAAATTAGCAAACACTAAACACCAAACCAATTAGCTGTCAATAATAGAGCCACATCTTTATTAGCATGGTTGAACAAATATGACACACAACAGTAGAGAGCTGCCAATCCAATACTGTATAGAAATCAGCCCTGGTAGAAACCATAACGAGTCTCATAACCCACTTTTGTTTACATCAAGTGATTTACATTCCACTGCAAAATTAAATGGAGCGTAATGCGCATTGTTTAGGCGTTGCAAAATGTCCAATTCACACATTGACACAGCAAAACACACGCCTTTTTGAAGATTGCAATATTTATGTAACGAAAATATATATTTATTCATTATTTGGACACACAAGGAAATAAATTAACATACTATTTTCACTCAGTACATAGACTGAACTGAACTAATAGAAAACGTTTATGTTGTTATAGCTATGACATGCTTAATTATGTTGGCAGCTATAAGCCGAATGGAAATTGATGGTTATTCGTTTTTATTGTGTCGGTGTGGCCAACAGTGTACTGTTATAACTGCATTTGGTTTGTCCCCTACCTTGATCACGCAAATACTCAACATCTTCATCCATGGTGACCAAGGGTGACGTTGAAACAGCTTGTTTTGATAGGTTTAACAGGTCACAAATAAGGATGCAAAACGGAAATGACCTTCAAATGTAATTCTACGCAACCTTTTTGTTCGTTTTCAAGATCGCCAGAAATAAACGACTGAATCTGTCTACCTCATTCAACAATTAAACAGATATTTGGGCACTTTGTGCGGTTACTAGGTGTCGCCAGCGTTAGCTAGCGCAGCTACATGTCTACTTAACACTCCGACAGGTAGAACAAATATCTTGTTTGTAAAGCAGGTAAAATTATAAAGAAATTAGATTACGCTGGTTAAAAATTACATTCTCTTCAAACAAATTAAAAAAAAGTTAAATAAATCTATTAAAAAATCTCACTAGTCGCCATTCTGTTGCGCCGTCCTTTTTGAAGCAAACACAACAACCAATAGCTATGAAGCTGTACGTCACTGAAATGAGTCCGTATATACAAACAAAGGGTTCCGCGCTGAAATAGTTACGCACAAATTGTCATATTAAAAACGACAATCACTGAAAGACATATATTCAAGCTTGCACTCGACTAATTCTGTATTTAATTTAACACATGGTTTTGTGATTAATTCAAAATAAAAATAAATGACGTTGTGCTCTAGGACCAGTCCGTCTGGTTAGTCAGGAAGTGCAGGAGCTGCAAAGCTTCTGTTGCAATAGTCATATGATCTGCTTGTCTATATATCTTGTTTTTAAGAAAGCAGCTGCAAAGCTTCTGTTGCAATAGTCATGTGATCTGCTTGTCTGTACGTATATCTTGTTTTTAAGAAAGCAAAGCAGCTATTTTTCAAGGGAAATTTAAAAAAGAAATCAGCTATTTTTCAAGGGAAATTTAGCAATTAGCAATTAATTTAGCAAAATTAGCAATTCAAAAAGGCAAAAAATCCTATTTATCTAAAACTTTCATTATCAGGTAAGTTCACTTTAATGGTTCAAAAATTGTTCTGAGTGGAATGTTCTTTTATTATCTAAATGGGTTATTGAGTAACAGAATTGTATGTGGCATTAACCAGACATGATAAGGAGCTGATTAATAGGCTTATTAGGACAGGACAAACTCAGTCTTTGCACAATTGCCAGAGTCAGAGCAAGTGAGACTTGTAGACAACATGGGGGTCGCTTTAAGACTACAGTGCATGGCACTTCTACACATAATAATGTGCTGTGCATCACTGTAAGTCTGCGGCTTCAGTGCTGCTGCTGACTTTATGATCTCAGACAGTAAACTTTATTTATTAAAGAGTTTTACCTTTCAGTTCTCTAACACAGATGGAGTTTGCCATCCAGCACACCTGGGACAGCGATCCTGTCAGCCATGATCCCATCAAGATCGCCTTCTCTCCTGGACAGGGAGGGCTGAAGATGGAAGTGTCTGGTCCCTTCTTCAATGACCCAGCTGCTCCACCAGGACCACCAGGTCACGCCTTCCCTGGGCTGTGGGATTATGAAGGTAGGTAAAAGTTCTGGAGGCACAAAACGGCTACATATTTGCAAAGAGGATTTTATTAACATATTTTAAAGTAATTGTTAAGTTATGATTATGGATGTTGCTTTTATTTATTTATTTATATTGTAAAAAAAAAAGGTAAATATGATGAGTAAACCTTAAACCTACTCAGCATAAATGACAAATTCACACCATAAGAAGCATATTTAGCCGAGGTCATCACAGTGGTTTCCTAACTTTTTCTGCAATTTGCTGTACCCCTCCGCGCAGTAGCTGTGTGCTCTGTGGGGCCCCGCCCCCCACTTTCAAAACCACTGGTCTAAAGTATAATATTAAAACGCAGTAGCTGTGTGCTCTGTGGGGCCCCACTTTCGAAACCACTGGGCTAAAGTATAATATTAAAACTTTTGAAAATCAAAATATAAACTGTTAAGGATTAAATATAGTGTATATGGGTTTAACAGCTTAAATGATACTGTTGTATGCAGATTAAAGCAAATACTAGATGAGTTGTGACCAATTCTTTTAAAATTGCTCCAAATAAAACATCCCTCTCTGAATAAATCACACGAGTTGACATGTTATGTGCCACAGATATTAAATAAATAATGACCTCTTGCATCATTGTGCTGAGTCATTGTATTGATTCTAACTTTTTCCAACTCAGCCTTTGCCTAATGATTCAAGTTCTATGACACAAGTTTAAGAGGCACATACAGTGCAGGACAAAGTTTCACATTAGGACTAATACTTTGACAGAGTGGACAGTCCTGTCTCGTATTTATGAGGGCATAATGGTTACTGCGGTGTCATAATTAAAGCTGCACTGCGATTAAAATTCCTAATGAGGTTGAGGAACAGCAACGCTATCAAACTGACCCTAAGTGAGTTCGATTTTTGGTTAATGAGCACGGCATATTTGGACTCATTAATGTTAGTTATTAGCCTGGAAACAATCTCTGTTGTAATCTTGGTGCATGCTGAACGCAGTGCAAAGTCAGTGGGTGTGTTCGTTCTAGTATCTGACTCTAAGGTTGGTGTATATTATATTTATTTATGTGTCTCTGCCTTTGTTGAACTTTATACCCCTTTTACAAGTTAACAATGCATTTTTAAACCATTACGTACAACACTAAAGGTCTAATCTGTGTTTTTCTTTCCTTTATCAACTCAGTGGTTGAGTCCTTCTTTCTTGATAGTACGAAGGAAAATTACCTGGAGGTGGAACTTTGTCCGTAAGTAGTAGAAAGTATCGCATGTGTAAATGCATGCATGTGTTTTCACACAATTTTGGAAACTGTTTGTTACTCTATTTGAACGCATGTAGATTCGCTAAATGGCTGTTTTTCCCATTGCGTTGTTTTTATTTTGAAGAGGGATTATATCACATGCAGGGGTGATGAAGTCATTAATATGTCAAGTACTTACAAGAAAAGAAAATCTATTTAAATCACACAGGGACATTTTGACAGGTAGCTCAAAATGTAGACCATAACATTGGAATCAACCTTTTTTTTTTCTACATTGCAGCTCCTTCACCACACACTTCTTCTGACTTGTAAATGCCCACATCTTTTAACCTCATCTGAAATAAAATCTTAGATAGTGATCTCACAATCTAACAGCATTTGGCTTCCTACCAAAACCACTGCCTAGTTGGACGTCTGTAGACAGCTCATTTTCCCAGGAGCCATCCGTGAGCCGACTGCGGAGCTGTGGGGTGTCAGCTCCTCTCTCACCCTCCTCTGGGCGTTTAACATTTTCCACATTTTAGTCATTCTGACCTCATCATCTGTAAGAGATTATTCTTGGCCGTCTGACAGACATCCTTGTAATTTCTTCACTCAATAGACATTGTGAACTTGTTTTTAACCTATCATGGATTCGTTTCCTTATGTCAAAAAAACCCCATCTTGCATCAGCCTTTAAGACAGACGCAGGTTCAAGTTTTAAGGTTGATTATCACATTATGAACAGACAAGTCAATGCGATTTTCAATGCAGCCTTAATGCCAGAGAAAACTGGAATTTACTGAATTCAAGAAAACAATGGACTAACAACATACAGCATGTGATTATCAAAAAATATTCTTTTTTTTTTTTTTTAGACATGGACAAATCTGATTTTGTTGCTGTCAGGAGTCGGCCAAGCTTTTGTGGTAGGCAAACACTCTTGGAGATAATCTGAAAAAACAAAACAAAAAAAAAGTTTCTACAAACTCTAAAAAATCGAATTTCTCTCTCCAGCAACAGCTGCCAATTGTGTTCAGTGCCACAGTCACCGGGGACAGGTGGAAGGGAGAGGCTCTTCTTCCCTGGACATACTTCCCCCCCAATGTGAACAAAATGAACTCCTACGCAATCCACGGATCGGGAGAGGAGCGGACGTATGAGGCTCTCTACCCCATTCCCAAAGCAGACATAGTGGAAGGGCAAAAACCCAACTTGTAAGTAGCTTTTTCTGGATGAACTATGAATAAATAAACAATCTGTAGTTTAATCAAATGTAAAATCATTTAAATATCTTCATATAGCAGCTCAAGCCCATAAATGTGCATTATTCATGACAACAGGCCTTATTGTATATTTGCACCTCATTAAGTTTATGTTACATTGAGCTCAGCGCCATTATTCCTTTCCCTGTGTGTCTGTTGGAAGAGAGAGTCTGTTATTGAGTGTCTGTCACGTTAAGCTTGCACTAGTAAATATGAACATACGTTTTTTCCTCTGGTATATTTTTAATTTATAAAAAAAGACGTGTGAATGTCTTTGGGACACAACATTTGTCTTTGCGAAAATCAGGGTTGGTTTATTTACTTTATCAGACAAAGGATTTGTGTAAGAGTTTATAGACTTCAGTTTTAATCAATTAAAAAAAAAAAACTAATTGTAATAACTTCAGTTTTAATCAATTAAAAAAAAAATACTACTTGCCACATTTTTCTTGCCATGTCACAACGAGCCGCCCATCCTGTCTTCTAAACAGGTTTTTCCCCATTACTCCAAATTGTTCTGTATTAAACAGAAAAGTCTGCAAACTGACACTATTGTCACCTAAGACAATATATCAATAAAACTAAGAAAAAAATACATGAAAAAAACGATACTTTAACACATCCAGCTGAACAGCATCCAGCTGCATTCCAGTAAACCAGTGGTTTTCAGATATTTTTTCACACCCCCCTGAACTGTAATACTATTGAGAACCTATAAATATGTATTTTTTTATCTACGTAAACCACGGTATGAGCTGCTACCACCTAGTGACTGAAGGCTTGTTTATCATTCAAGCATTACAACAGTGGTACACTTCCATATACCATTGGAAGCCTCTCGCGCCCAAACCCTTGCCTGATGGGGGCCCGCCCCACTATTTGGGAACTGCAGTAAACAAATTGTCACGTAAACTTAGTCTCATTTCCATGTGTCAAAAAACAAATGAACACAACGTCCATTTAAAAAGTCTCAACCAAATAGTGACTCAGTGCGGTCAGCAAAGCCACATCTACATGTACCACTGCTCTACTAAATGATGTTAAAGTACCTCCGCAACACTTGGGTTTGTTGACCTACTTAAATAAGCCCAGTGTGACGGCAATGAGACCCTGAACTGCAGTAGGAAGACACACAACACTGGCTGACCTGACTGTGGTGAAAGCCGTTACAGAGCATCAGATCGCCAGTTCACCGCGCATTTTCGAGAAAGATCATTTGAATAAAGTATTGTTCCTGATAGACACCAGTATCCCTTGCATCCCTACTCGCAAATCATAACTAAACTTGTTAGCATCTAAACTGCTAGAAACAAGGAAACTTCCACAATGTTGTTGTTTTTCCTAGTCTGTTTGTTCCCTATCTGAAAACACCTGTCCTCACATGTGAAAATATAAAGCTGTGACAGGTTTTCTTTTGTGGTACTCCAGCTGCAGTATCTCCCGAGTTACTTAAGTTTTGTCTGACTTGTGTGATTTTAAAATTGTTTTGTGGCACAACTTTGAGAACACCCAGGTACATCTTAAAAAAACTGACACTTTTAGATATGTGATGTAGCAGCCAACACCTGAGCAGATAATTACACCCTGGAATTACATGCACAGTTTATGTATGATCGCAGGTGCAGGTTTTATGCATCCTATAATATTCTCTCTTCTTTTTTCTCCCCCCCCCCTCTCTGTCATAGCCATCGCCTGGAGTATTTCCAAAACTTCTCCCTGCAAAGCATTATGGGAGAAGGCTGGGTCCAGCCAGACTCTGACTTGTGGAAAGGAAAACATTGAGCATTTCTAAAAACCCAAAACAAAACAAAAAAAAATCTAATTTTCTGTGTCTCTGTCTTTCACACACACACACACACATATAGCATTAGCATCACAGCCCAAACACTAATTTCACCCAGAACAAAGGTCAATCAGTGTTCATTAATTAATGATGTCAAACGACATGACAAGAAACGTGTTATCAGGTTGTCAGACACACACAGCCTTCACACACAGACACAGACAGACACACACACCCCAAACGGCTGGACGTCACCTGATGTTGCCTCTGCAGACTCTGACCTACAGCCGTTACTATATGCTGAGTGGCCACTCATGGTTGACCTCCAGCTCCTAGAGCAGGCATGGGCAAACTAAGGCCCGGGGGCCGGTTGCGGCCCGTTCAGCTTTTTAATCCGGCCCACCAAACTTTTCCAAATTATATCATTTATTCATTTTATCATTCTACTTCTGCCTTTTCCCTTCAATACCCATGTTTTCACAACAGATGGTGTAGAAAATGATAAAAGCATTTTAGCGCTTCAGCCTTTATGCATGACTTACAATGACACTTATACATTTATCTTGGTTCACACAAACTCTCCATCTATCTGCTCCTGACCCGCCCCCCCGTTCAATTTTAGGACAACTGTGGCCCACGAGTCAAAAAGTTTGCTCATGCCTGGGCTATAGTACGTAGCATGTGTGTGCGTGTGTGTTTTAGCTTAATGACATCAGACAGAATGTTTGTGTTTCTGCTGCAGAATATACACAATACACCCCCCCTCACCTCCTACCAACACACACACCCTGCAGAAAACACACACATGGTTTGGTCATTACTCTATGACACCTTAAATTCTGTTTGCCCAATAAACATGTTTTATAAATGAATTACCTCTGCTAAATTGCCTGTTATTTTTCTCTCCAGGTTGTTTTGTGAAATATCACTTTTATAATTACTATTATTATTTTTTTGTCATTCAAATAAATAAATTTCATTCTTTTTTAAGTGATATTAAATCACCTGAAATAGAAAACACTACATGCACAGCGCTTCTCCTCAGGGTTTTTTTTTTTTCCGAGAGGACAAAATCACACTTACTTTACTTTGTCTGCTACGACAGCTACGAAATAATTGAAGCAAAGTTCAGAAGCAGTAGGTCTGTCTTCAGTCTCCAGTTGTGTGTGTGGTTAAACGTCTAAAACATCATTAGCATAAAATAATTTTAGAAAAAGAATGTCAAAAGGCCAGGCAACAGTAGAATTGTGGGTGAAATGTTCTGCGGTGTACTTCGTACTTTGTGTCCCAGCCTGAAGAACATACTATAGTACATCAAAAAGAAGGATGTACAGTAGGTGTGTAAGACAACTACGTATACTGTATATATATACATATATATATACACAGTATACATACATATACAAATAGTGTATATACAGTATATAGTCTATATATACTGTATACATATATAGAAATACAAATATACAATATATATTTCCATATATTTGCATAGATATATAAACAAACATATATATATATATATATATATATACATATATATATATATATTATACTATATATACTGTATACAGACACATATATGTATATACAGTGGGGCTTCAAGATACGAGCTACCTGGAATACAAGTTTTCATTTAATATAAAATGCTTTCCTTGATATTATTTTATATTATCAATATATATATGTCATATATTTATGTTTTGATGTTTAAACAGGGGCAAATTACAGTTTAAATAATAGTATATTTCTGCGGGGCTGGAAAGAATTAATTGGTTTTTAATCGAGATACGAGCGCTGTTGTGGAACGGATTAAACTTGTATCTTGAAGCCCCATCGTATATATTAACATGGTTCTGAAGATTAATTGTAGAGGAGAGTAAAAAATCAAGATAAAATAAAGACATTGCTAATACCCAATTCATTGTAAAATTAAGACACAATTATCATTTAACATGAAATTTCTCTTTTTTGGATAATGTCCCATTTGTATAGCAAACACATTTTGGCAAAAAAAGTTCCTATTTTTTGCCTGTGTTCAATGTGTTGGAGCATCAAATACAACAATCCCCAGCGCCAACATTTTGGATTCACATACAGTCTATGTTGTTCCAGCGCCAACATTTTGGATTCACATACATTCTATGTTGTTCTCTTAATTTTATCCATGTCTAGATAGAGCATTGAAGTGAATTAACAATTGAAGCCTCATGCTCTACCAACATTATTGTGTCCATTGTTGTGACGTATTTTAGGACACAACAACTGTGACAGGTCTACCACACAAGGGTAAATAATGACGCAACAGTGCGAGAGTGGAAACTGATCTGGAGAACAGATCGATACGTTTACTGGTTTGTACCTCCTCTAAGTCTATTATTGGAAATTTCAGTGGCATCCATGCAGTGCATACACCAACATCCAATGGCGTAATGCAGGGATACCTTTTCTCTAGAGTATTTTCTTAAAACGTACCGGTGTTTGCTGATATGCATGGCTATAACTGCAAAAAGGCCTAAAAAGTAATGGTTTGGGTTTATTTTTTTTGTCTGTTTAGACCACAGGAGATTCAGGCATCACAATATTACAATATAAACATCATAAACACTCTTAGATGCTCAGTGGGACAGACGGCTCTTTAAAGATGCAGACAAAGAAACAGCATTTCGGGCCTGATTTTATTCTACTTAACAATCCCAACCTGCGTCCTCCTCCTTGTAATGCCAAGCGCTGTGATGGGAGGATAGAGAAGATGTATTATTCTGATCACAAAGAGGGGGAAAACACCATGAGACTGAAGAACAAAAGGCTAAAGTTGTTTTCTGCAAGTTAGATTGCAGTCCTTCTGTCTCTGCAATGACTACCTTGTTAACGAAGTTGGCCGGTTCAACTGAAATACATATATTGGTACGAGGTCTCCCACAGGAGTCAGTGTTTGTAAACCACATTAAGGTCAATGTTTCGCCCGCCCGCAGCAAAAACATGTGAGTAGATGAGCTCACATAAAAAAAAGGTGCTGTACTCACACTTTTCATTTCATCAGCGGTCGCATAAATGAGGAAATGTTCGGTTTTAACGGCGAACGCCCTTTCCGACTGACCAATCTAGTTTTATCAGGGATTGGATGCAGCACTAGGTGTCTGGAGAATGATTATAGTCCTTAGAAGCAGAAACTGGATGGAGCCCCATCTCAGCATGAGAGAGGCTGCAGAGGAACACTAGTGATTTTTACACGTGGATGAAAAATGAGGCTAATGTCCCACTAATGACCCAACTTGCGGTGTTTTTTTTTTTTCTGTAATTACTTTTACAGAGAATGAAACAGAACTTTTTTGTCATTTTAGCAACTTGTTCCAACAGCATCATCAGAAAAACAATTGATTTCAACACACACTTCTAGTGTTTATGTGGCCTTTGCGGTGCAACAACGTCCAGCAGTAGACGTAACACTGTCCAGTGGTTGAATACGGGGCTTGGGATTAAAAGTGTGCTGGGAAGAAATTGGAGATCATTTTTTTTCTATCATTTTTCAAAACCTTTTCCAATAGCATCCGCAGAGAATCAATACACTATGTGTGATCTCTTTGGACCACCGAACAGGGTTGGGGGTGTCCTAGGGGCTCGTGATCAGGAGGGGCCCAGAGTGCTTTGTACTCTCTCCCAAAATCCCTGGCGATGCCTCTGTTTGATGACAACACGCTATCATACACATTTAGTATCGTCTTTCAACAAAGACCAGCAGTAGAGGGCAGCAGTCTCCACAACCGCCAGCCAAATCACACTGCAAGGTACCAGCCCCTCATGAACCTTCCTGCGGGTGGTGAGTCCACAGGAAGGCTCCCGCCCTAACCGGGATTCAAGCTTGCCCAGGAGGTGAACCCTGGGGTTCCACACCAATGACAGAGACGTTGGACCAAAGCGCCACGATCCAGATAACAGGTTGCGATAAATGTTTTTCAAATCTGGAATAACTTGACAAAGCCTTTGTAGTGTCAATGAACTATGTCGGAATGTGCTGTACGCTCATATTCTAAAACACACTTCTGGGCCTACGTCCCCCATCTCTCAGTCCTAGTGACGTCCCACTGGTACAAGAGGATATGTTTTTTGGGGTCAGGTTCACATTGTACAACCCTGTTTTAGAAAAACGACGTGAATCGGGATCATCTACTGTGACAAGTGTAAAATACTTCAAAAGTAATTTAATTGATGGCGTTTTGGCCCAGAGGCAATGTCTCTGTCATTGGTGTGGAACCCCAGGGTTCACCTCCTGGGCAAGATCGAATCCTGGTTAGGGAGGTTGGTACCTTCCAGTGGACTCACCACCTGCAGGAAGGTTCAGAGGTTCTGGTGCGGGGCAGTGTGAAGTGGATGGCGGTCATGAACACCGCTGCCCCCGCGACCCAGTAACGGATAAGCGGACGAAAATGATGGATAGATGGTAACTTAATCTCTGGAAAATTATGGCAAATCAGACAATTGCAAATCATTCTTTTTGAATGTTTATAGTCTCAGTCACTAGTTTCACATTAGACTTCATCAGAATGCCATAGGCCCCTTGTTTACAAACTCAACTCACATGACGTTTCCACATTAATAAATCTCCGGCCTTCAAAACTGGACAATTCCATCCATTTCTTACTCATCGCCGAAAGTGTAAATAAAGAAAGTATTTGTGGTATTATAGATTCCCGTGGCATAAGGAAGTCTGTTCAGAGCAAAGGGAGCTCCTGTTAGTGAGCAGTTGCTATTAGAGTCTTTGGTGAGAGTACATATCAAAGACTCTCTCACTTACTTTCCACCTACTTGAGAGGAGTAGAAGATCACAGGCCCTGTGATCCTCAGTGCACACGCACAATGACTGAGGATTTACGAATCTCTTTTTTCTCACTGACCCCGCAAGTCTCTCCCTCTTGCCCCTGCCCCGGCCCTTTATGCAACCCATGTATTTATCACGGTCTCCCCTTAGATCACTGGAAGGCAAATCAAGCATTCTAACCTGAAGACAGGGAGCCGGCTGATTT